CTCTAAACTTGCCTGGTAGCCATCCTATGACTCCAAGAGGAGCAGCCTTAGGATGAGGTCACATTGTGGATGACAGGATGGACAGAGGAAGGGCTCTGGAACCTTTAGTTACTCTTGAGCACTTGAACCAACCAGCCACATGACCTGCCTTACCTCTTTATTTAAATCAGTTTGAGTTGATTTCTGTTCGTTATAGAAAATACATACTTCATCCACTCCTTACTTAGTTTTCCCAAGCTTTGTCGTATCAGATGTAGACTTGCTGAGCCTCTGTCCTGGGCCGCCAGGAGAGTGGATTCCTTCACATTGGGATTTAGTGGCCCCAGCCAGGGCCTACTCCAGAGACTTCCCTCTGTGCTCACTTTCCCCCATCCTAGGTACATACTTATGAAATATATGAATCTCTGTTCTTTTGGAGCACTCAAGTCTCATTATGACTGTCTCTTGCCTATCCTTCTACCTTTGGCTCATTTCTTATCACTAGTCTTGCCCATTACGTCATAGTAATATCAAACTACATAGAGTTCTAAACCCCATATTATTTCATGTGCCTTCGTTCACACTGTTTTCTTTTCTTGCCAAAAATGCCCTATCCCTTCTACTTTCTTTGCTTCACATCTGTTTATCCTTTTTGACATGTGCTTTGCAATATGGTAGCCACTAGTCACACACAGCTATTGAGCACTTGAAGTGTGGCTAGTGGAAGTGAGAAACTGAGTTTTTAATTTTATTTCATTTAAATTAATTTAAATTAAAAACTTTAAATTGAAGCAATATAAAATATGTTTCCATTAAACACACCTTTATTGCTTTGATAGGATGACATTTAACTGTTGAAAAGTTAGTGTCCAATTGAGATGTGCTGTAAGTATAAAACACACATTAGATTTCAAAGACTTAGTACAATAAAAAGAATATAAAATATCTCTATAATTTTTATATTGATTGGGTAGTGAAATGGTAATATCTTGGATATATTGGGTTGAATGAAATATATTATTATGAGTATTTTATCCTGTTTGTTTTCACTTTTTTAATGTGGCTACTTGAAAATCTGAAGTTACATACGTGGCTTGTGCTACATCTCTTTTGGACAGCGCTGGACTAGACCTTATCAGATGTCATCACCTTAAGAAAGCCTTTCCCAATCACCCAGGCTAGGCGCGGTTGCCTCCTGTCTTCTCACGACACCCTCTTAAATAGCACTTACGTCATTAATTGACATTATCTCTCCATGTGTGTGTCTCCCTGCCCCCCCCCCCCCCCCCCACAATAAATTTCTCAAGGGCAGGTGCCATGCTTTATATTTTCTGGCACATAGTAGATACTCAATAGACACTTGTGAAATAAATTAATGAACAGCTAGCCACATCAAGTTCATACTCTCACAGGTATTTTTAAGTATAATTTCATATACAACTATTTTTTAGAGTAATATTCTGTCTTAGGGCTTTCTGGAAGTCCAGTCTTCTGGCTAAGTCTCTAGGTCACTGTGTGCAGTGCCCAACCTGGGGGGCTGTAAGGGCAGCCTTATAGGCAAACCTTCTAGCTCTTCCTAGCATCCTGCTCCTAGGAGGGCACCAGATGGGTGAGAGCAGGAGTGAGCAGACGAGGAGGAGCTCCAGGAGGAGTGGAGGAAAGAAAGGAGGAAGTGAGGAGACCAGGAAGCAAGACTTCTCCCTCTGCCTTCTGCAGCAATGTGAGCTGAGCATTGCTGCCAAGCAAACAGTGGTGTGGAAGGCTGGGAAGGAGAAACCGGGCTGGCTGTGGTATGCCACTGGGTGGAGTTAAAATTTATAACAAGGGAGCAGCAACTGAAGAAAAGAAAGATTCTTTTAAAAATTCTGCTGAAGCCTAATTAAAAAAAATTCCACTCCCTCATACTAAGTTTTAAGAGACTTCCCTTTCAGAATTATTTTCAGTCTGGTGGTAACAGGCAGGAAGAGTGTCAGATGTTCACCAAGCTATAAAGCGGATACTCCCCACCCCCTAAAACACAGGACCTGCCCACATTGCTTTTCTGACTTGGGCTATGAGGATACAGGATATGAAGTTGTCAAGGCATAGATCTTTCCAGAAAGGAGTGTCTTGTGCAGTAGATTGAAAAAAAAAATGGCCTCAGTATTTTGCAGCTTGTCCTATCAAGAGGTGGAGTCGATTTTGCTGGCCTTTGAATCTGGGTTATATTCATGGGTGTTAGACAACTTGATGCAAGCAGAAGCTTGAAAAGTGCTTGCACACTGTGGCTTGCTCTCTTTTGCTATTTTTGGAATCCAGCCACCATGTGAAGAAGTCTAGGCTAGCTTGCACTGGAGACACGTGGCTTGGTCATCCCTGTGGCTCCCCACTGGTTGCCAGACATGTATGTGACACCATTTGGGACCACCAGCCCTCAGAAAATCCTCCAGCTGACTGCAGCCATACAAGCAAATCTGGGGGAGTCCAGCTGAAGAATTTCCCAGCTGAGCCCAGCCCACATTGCCAACCCATAGAATGGTGAGCTAACGAACGATTGTTGTTTTAAGCCTCTAAGTTTTGGGGTGGTTTTTTATGGGGCAAAAGCAAACTAATATAGTCTGACTAAGAGATGTGGAAATCCTTGTAGAAATAGCCACCTTACAACTTACTATAGGAGAGCTACTATAATAGAGTCACTGAGTATTGGCTTTTGAGCCAGGCAGATGTGGTTCCACCACTTGCTTGGTGTGATCTTGGGCATCTTTGGTAACAATGACAGTACTTACTTCATAGGGCTGTAATGAGAACTGTGTCAGTCAGGGTGGCAGACTGGAATTAGGATCCTTTGGGGAGAGTTTATATAGGGATAATTGTATTTACAAAGGTGTGGTCAGGGTTCAGGGGACCACAAGGGAGAGTGCAGTGCCCTGGGGCCATGTTACCACCCTAGGTGTGAAGAGGCAAGGAGAAGGCATGGTGACCAGAAGCTGGAGACAGAGCAGCTGGGCCAAGAGGGCCACTTGACAGGAGCCATGACCTTGGATTGAGAGAGAAAGCTGTTTGGCAGTGACATGGTTGGGAGGGAGAGGGAGGAATAAAAACTCTGGCCTACACTTCTTCCTCTGCCTATTTCGTGCTAGTGCTCCTTGGCCAAATCCAACTGGAAGCCACTGGATGTACAGATCAGCCTCCTGAAACGAAAAGCAAGATGGAGAAGGAGAGAGAGTGGATCTGGGGCAAAGGGAAGGTATCCAGCCCAAGAATTTAAAAGCAATAATGCATATGAAAGTACTGAGCATGGACCTAACACCAGTAATTATTATTACATTATCAGTATAAACCAAGGGCTATGGGTGTCAGGAAAGGAAATGAGTATTTTTTGCTAGGGTGAGCTGGAGAATATTCACAGAGAAGGTATGCTTTGGGTTGTGGCTTGGAGGAGTGGGGGAAATAATAACAACAGTGATAAGAGGAAACCTTTTCTTGAGATTTACTATATGGAGGCACCGTTCTGAGTGCCCGACATACATTAACTTATTTAATCCTCTTACCCGTCTTATAGGGTAGGTGCTATTTGTATCCCTATTTCACGGATGAGAAATTGAGGCACAGGGAAGTTAGATAACTTGACTGAGGTCACACAGCTAATAAGTAGTGGAGCCAGGATTTGAACCAATTTCAAAGGCAGTGAGGGGCATGACCTTCGGTTTTTAGGCACAGAGATAAAAAAACTATTGTAGAGGAAGTAGAATCACCCAGATGGGCTAGAGTGTGAGATTTTTGCTGGAGGACAGGGAGAGACAGTCTGGAGAGACAGTTAAGGACTAGATCTCTGAAGGCCAGAGTGATAGCCTGAGGAATTTGCCCTCCATTCTGGTAGGTGATAGGAAGCCACTGAGGATTTCCAAGAAGAGAAAGGCAATCACAGCAAAGTGCCAGGAAGACTGATCTTTGTGCAGGGTGAAACTAACAAAGAGGGAACAACTGGAAGCCAGGCAACTAGCTAGAGGATACTGCAGTAGTCCAAGCACCAGGAGATGAGGGAGTGAATAGGATGATACCAACCAAGATGGGGGGCGGGGACACTGGAATTGCACGGCAAGGGAAGACTTGACAGGACTTGGGGACTGATGAGCTAGCTGGGTGTGTCAAGAGGGGCTGGAGAAAAACGACAGGAGGTTTGGGACCCAGGTAACAGGGTCATGATGGTATCAGATGTACCATTTAGCCACACTAAGTGTATGTGTTGGGAAAAAAGTGTATATCATCCAGTCTTGTGTGTTTTCTGGTGATAACACGAATGCCATGAAGTTGTACGAACCTACCACCAATTGCAAAACAACCACTGGATTTGCAATATCAGCTCCTGGCAAATTCACTGTGAGCCTGGAACAAGGATGGGGTGGATTCAAGGACTGCCCCCTGAGGTGGTGAGAGAACCAGGGTTGCAGGATATTGTGAGATTAGTTCTGGGGAAGCTGGAAGGACGCTTGGTTGCCCGGCGACAATGCTGCCTCAGAGGCAGCCCTTGGTTTCCTGCAGTTCTGGATGCATCTCATTAAAAGGAAAGAGGGATGGCTGGCTGACACATTTTCTAAAGAGGTGTTTTCAATGTCCCAAGTCTTGGTGTCTTGTTTATAAGTGGTACTTACAACATACAAGGGAAAGGGAAAAAAGGGGAGAGGAAGAAAGGTCTCCTAGGATCTTGAGCACGTGAGGAGTTGATCTTGACTCTATGATTTCAGCTCGTCTAACAGAGATGGGGTGCAGGGCCTCCTTGAAATCCACCTGAAATGAATTAGCCTGAAGTAAAAGTAGGTGTTTATCTCAAGTCATTGCCTCAAATAGCTGACTACCTGTTGGAAGACGGGTCTGATCGATGCAAACCAGACCAGCCGAGCGTGAGCTGTTACCCAGCGGTTAGTATTGATCGGAGCTAAAGGCTGCCGATAGGAATGTGGAGGGAACTGACAGGCAGAGAAGAAGGAAGGAGGAAACAGCCTTTGCTGGTGGCAGCTGTACAGAGGAAAGCCGATAAAGAGTCAATTCCACTTAACTGAAGGGCTGCTAACTAAATATTTTTGGGGCCAGAACCTTCCCAGGTAGCAGCTGGAGCATCTCTGTTCCGGAACTGAGACATCAAGCGAGAGCTGGGCATCGACAGGCGAGATCGCAGGACGCTGGTGATGCATGGGGAAGAGGAGAGCCCCCAGACGGAGGGATGGGGGGCCTTGGTCGTGGCTGAGCTGACTGGGAGCACTGGACAGCCACTGACCAGGGAGTGCTGCTGACGGACAGGAAAGGGACAAGATCCAGGCTGGAATTTGTGAAACAGTCTCTGATTAATTAGTTCGTTTAAAACCCGGATGCTCTTGTCTGAACTTAAGTAAGGGGTGTTGAAACTAACTGCTTCAATAAGGGAAAGTTGAACAGTGGCTGGTCCTGTTACAGAGAGAGCAGAACAGTGCAATAGAGAGTAGTTCAGGGGCTGGCTTTGGGGGATGTGGTGTTCGCTGCTACTCGTTTTCCTGTACTTCTAAGCACTCAGAAGGATCGCACTTCTCTTTCGTGAATTAGATGTGACTGCGTAACTTGTTTCGGCCAATGAAATGTGAGCAGAGGACACCCGTGTGCCTTCTGGGTGGAAGCATTTAATGGCTAGTGCACAACTTTCCTGCTCTTGGCTTGCCACTGTGATCCCAGGCGCTTGTGTTGATATGGATAAGAGCAAAACCATCTGGAAGGTTAAGCTAGCACATGGATAGCTGTCCAGAACGGCATCAGATTTTGTATGAATGAGGAATAGACCTCTACTGTGTCACATGACTGAACTTTTGGGCTTGTTTGTTACCCAGTATAACCAAACCTTTTCTGACTGATACACGGGGATGGGGTTTTAGAATCCTGTGTCTCCTAGTTGCTAGTAGTTGGGTGATTTGGCCCATTGCTTAATCCACCCAAATCTTGGATTACATATACAAAGCATATAAAAATAGCAAAAAAACAATAAAATTATGATCTGTTGAATGCTTACAACATAGAGGCCTGGCACGGGCTCTGCATATATTAACTTGTGTAATTCTCAAAGCAACCCCATGAAAGATCTACTATTATCCTCATTTTCCAAATGTGGAACTCAAACTCAGAGAGGTTAAAAGGCTTTTCCATGGTCACACAGCTTGTAAATGACAGGCAGGAATTCAAACCCAGGCGGACCACTCCAGAGCACTTTTTCTTAACATTTTCCTATCCTGGTTCTCAGCTTAGGTGCTTAATAAAGAACAGGTCTCCTAGTATAGGCTTGGGAATAAATTCACCAATTGAGTCACACTCAAGCATTCCATATAGGAGGCAAAGAAAACAACGTGGCTAGTGTTTCTTTTGATCTTTCACTATTCTGTTCCTCCCACCCCCAAGCCTCCGTAGGGCTCGAGCCTGTCTGGAATGTCCTTCTCCACTTTTCCTCCCAATCCTGGGTATTTCTAAAGCTCCAGGTCAATTCCCTACTCATTTGTGAAATAAACAAGGGAATTCCTTATCAACAGAAGAGGCTGAATGGACTTCTGGCAGAGGATACTGTTCTGAGGAGTTTCTCATCTATAAAGTGGGGTTAATAACACCCATCTCACTGGGTTGTTGTAATATACTATTTTTCTTTCTTTCTTTTTTTTTTTTTTTGGTGAGGAATATTGGCCCTGAGCTAACATCTGTTGCCAATCTTCCTCTTTTTGCTTGAGGAAGATTGTCACTGAGCTAACATCTGTGCCAATGTTTCTCTATTTTTTTTGTTTGTGGGACGCTGCCACAGCATGGCTTGATGAGTGGTGCGTAGGTCCGCGCCCAGGATCTGAACCTGTGAACCCTGGGCTGCCGAAGTGGAACATGCAAACTGAACCACTACACCACCAGGTCGGCCCCTTTGATTTGTCTTTTTAACATCATATTCTAGGTTCTATACACTGTACTATGTGATTATGTATGTATATGTCTGTGTGTGTATACACACGTATATAAAAGATTGATCTATCTATCTACCTGTCATCTATCTATCTTTTAACCTTCACAGCAATCCCAGGAGGTAGATATTATATTGCGTCCATTTTACAGATGAGGAAACTGAGGTTCAGAGGATTTAAATACTTTTCCAGAGGTCATGAAGCTAGAATGAAGGATGAGGGGCTAGTTCAAATTAAAACTCCAAAGGCTGTTCCCTTTTCTATTAAACTCTAGTGCCTCCCTCCCACTTGTGGAGTTAAAATGAAGTCACACAGTTAAGATTCCTTGCAGTACAGTACCTGGCACATAATAGCAGCTCAATAATTGGTAGCGCTTATTATTATTCACTTGTAAACATTTATTGAGTAGCTACTATGCAGTAGGTAGCGTGCTCCGAGAAATTCCTACAGGAATTCTTCAAGGAACTTTGAAAACAAACATGTAAGGAAATTGCATCTTGTCCACGCCACTTTTCAAGACCTGGCTGGACTGCTAGCAGTGCCGCATCCTTAGAAAGCACTGAGCAGGGGGGATCCTGGGCCAAACAGGTGGGCAGGATGCAGGGAGCAGCAGTGGCTCTCACAGTGCTGGTAGGCTCTCTAGGTGAGTCCAGATCCTCCTGAAAGGTGCCTCCAGCCTCATGTCCAGCCTGCAGGGCATCTGGGCAGCTGTGCAGGTTTGGGAGGAGCCCCTGGAGAGTGTAGCAGCCCAGAGCAGCTGGGAACCTGCTGCACTTGTCATTCAGCATCACATTCCTTCTTCACAATGACCCCAGGATGGTGAAGTGAGTTGCAGTGTCCAAAGCTGGTATTTGAACCCAGGAGCCACTACACCATGCTGCCCTTATGACCTGAGGTGTGAGAGAGAAGGATGGTGACTGAATACTCCTTGATCGTAGTTGGAATTTACCTGGACTGCCCTGTAGATTCCCCCCAGCCCTGTGGGGAGAGGAAGAGTGCTCATCTCTCATCAGTTGAACCACCATGAAATCCCTAGGAATAAGGGGCCTGACGCCATGTACCTCCTTACTCTGTGCCAACTGTCGTGTTAGGTATCTCCTTCACCTTCCCCACGTCCTTCCAAAGTGGGCGTCACTCACCCCCAGGTGATTGATGAGGAAACTGAGCCTTAAAGAGGTTAAGTGGCATTTAGTATGGCCCCTGTTTTCTCCGAACGCTAATGAGACCATTTCACAATTTTGCTGAGTAACCAGTCCTTTTAAGTACCTTAATTAGAGGGTCATCTTTGTTCTCTGCTTGTCAAATGCTAGTTACTCAAGAAATGCATTCCACTTACTGCTATATCAATGTATTGATGTGTGTGCGTGTGTGTGTGTGTATGTGTACTCGCCATCTCCATGCTCAGGCTCCTCTCAACCAATATTTTGAGTGTATGCCGAGGGGAGTGTGTTCAGGCTATTTTGAGTTTCTGTACTTAATGCTTAGCAACTTTAATAAACTTCATTCCTTTAGGTAGTAGACTTAATATTTTAAGTATGGTTTTAATTACCATCCTCCTCAAGTTGAAGGCAAAACCAAGAAAAGGGGGAAAAAAATCTAACCTATGAGCATTGCCAGCGATTCCACTCTCTGTGACAATTCCAGACTGTGGAGGCTGGAGTTCTCTCTAAATTGTTTCTTCGGGCACGGGCACATCATGCTTAAATCATTTCAAATTTCACTGGGTTCCATTCTCCCAGCACAGGCTGTAAACATTTATCTTTGGGCTTTCCCAGAAATGTGTCTTATGGAAGGGATTAGCTGTTTGTGCATTTAAAGTTCTGAAGGTGAACTCCGCTAACCTAACCCACATAATTAAAGTGGAAAATTTCTGGTGGAGCAAAAAAAAAAAACATCAGGGAAAATACCATGTTTGGGAAGAGAGCTGGACTCCTACAGTCTCAAGAGATGGCTCTGCGTTCTTGGGCACTTAATTATATAACCCGTCTTGCTGGGCGCTCTGGTCCTGTCGTCTGTTCCGTCTTATCTCTGTGTTGAGATGATAAGCAGCTTGAGGGCTGACATTGGGGTGGAGCAAGTAGTTTTATGGCATAAATTTTAAACATTACATTCATTAATTTTTAAATGTGAAATATGTGAGGAAGAAAATAACAAAATAAAACAATACTTTTATTGTTCAGATAAATCTTGTTGGTATAAAACAGAACCAATTTGCAGAGCCAGGTTTCAAAATTCAAATAATACAGAAAAGTACAAAATGAAAATGAAAAACACTGCTATCCTCACCCAAGCTCAGTCCTGCTCTATCACCGCTAACGTTTTCTCGTGATTCCTTCCTCTATTCCTGGTATAATTTTACCAGCACCTAGAAAGCCCTCTTTCCGACTTATTGTCTGTCCGCTTGGCTATTATAGCTGATGTTTCACCATCATTGATTCACTCCTTTCCATGGAAGTACTATATGCTTGAGCTATTTCTTTTATTCTAAGATATTCTTAGTTGAAAATGCAAATGGCAAGAAGCAATGTTAATCATTTGTTAGCCACTCACCCCCTTCCAACTGGAGCTTGTGTCTGAACTAAGAGTGATGGTTCTAGAGTTAAGCCACTTAGCCCCAATCCAGGTTCTATCCCTTGCTGGCTCTATTTAACCTCTCTGTGCCTTGGTTTCTTCATCTCTAAGGTGGGGTAATAACAGTACCTGCTTCATAGGGTTGTCATGAGAAATCAATGAGATACTAGATAAAAAGTACTGAGAACAATGCAATATAGCATTACATAGTGGGTCTTGAAAAATGCTAGCTGTTAAATCTATTACATATAGTTAATGACCAAATATAAATGATTTTTAAAACAACTGCCCTTTTTGAGCACCTAATACATGCCAGACATGGTCCAGAGTGCTTTATGTACATGATTCATACAATCTTCCATATAGTTCTAGGAAGTAAGTACTAGTAATAATCCATTCTACAGAGGAGGAAACTCAAAAGCACAATGTAACTTGTCCAAGGTCACATGGCTAGATCTCAAGGGCAAGCTGGGCTTTGAGGGCACATCTGTCTTTCTACTGGGCCAGCTTAGACAGGGCAGTTTCAAGAGGTGAAGCACAGAGAGAGACTTCTGGACCTGGAGATGCTAGTGAAAGTGTGGGCTGACGCAATGGGAGCACACAGGGTGGGAGGCACACCTGGAGGAGAGGGAAGGGGATGGATGAGGAAATGCATGCAAGGAGCTTTGCCTATAATGAGATTTTGCCTAGGGCCAGTGCAAGATCTGATTTCCTTCATGGTCTCCCATGTTGCCTGGAAGTTGCCAGAAGCCACGCGATCCAAGTCCTAACACGAGGGGTTCCAGTTCCACCATGAGTTCCATGACCTTGGCAACTCACGTCACTTCCCCAGTAAGTTTCCTCTTCCGTAAAATGGGGATCATACATTGTGGCTCATCTACCTACCTCACAGGATTGTGGTGAGGCTCAGCTGAGTCTGGGGACTTTTACACGTCTGGCTAACTGGAAAATACTACAAGAGATGCTAGATATTGTTATTGACTTGATCGTACCTGTGAGTTAAAAAGGGGGATGCTTTGGTCCTATAAACTTAGATTTAGAGAGGACCCCCAAAATATGCTTCTATGGGGAAGAGTTTATGGTGCCAGGGATGCTGGTATTGACTGTGATCAATTCAAGAACAGGTAGGGAGACTGGGAGACTTGTGGATGAACAGTATTATCGTTGTCTAGGTGCAGTGATAGCAGGTTTGAGGGACACACGGTAATAAGCCCTCTCTTTTCTGTACTTCCACTCCCAACAAGTTGGGGCAAGGTGGGAACTGGTGACGTCCTTGCTGATGTGTTCGAATTTGTCCTGCCTTATGGTCTGGTCAGCTGCGGGTCCACATATCGCATGGAGATGCAAAGCAATCAACAGCATCCTGGCCATTTCTTATGGATCCAATACCTTGTGTCTATGTTGTATTTTAAAAGGCCAACTTTTAGTGAAGTCGATCAATGCTTGAAGCACATAATGTAACATGATTCTTCAAAAGTTTGATTAATTGTGTCACAGTCACAGCCTCAGTTCAGGTTCAACCTTTTACAAGTTTTATTATTGTATAAAGTGATCAATCAGGAGACAAGGAAAGACAAATGCTAGACTTTGGCCATATCTCTCTCTCTTCTTTGTCAGCAAGTGTTCCTCTCCTGGTCAGTTCATCTGGACCGTGCTGGAGAAATGGGGGTTAATGCAGATCCATGGTGTACCAAAATTGGGATCAAGAAGGAGGCAATCAGCTGCTCTGTGTGGAAGGTAGACTGCTCCAGTGCTGATCGACCTTGGTTTTACAGAGGAAGAACCTGGGGAGCTTTAAGATGTTCAGAGTCTTGCATCCCACCCACATAGATTTTGATATCATTGGTCTAGGGTACAGTCTGGGCATCCCCTGGGATTCTAATATGTAGCCAAGGATGAGAATCACTGGTCTAGTCAGAATAGCTCTTGGTAAAACCATCAGGTGTGGTGAATTTAATTTGAGAGTCCTTGTGCCTCAACTTCTGTTTTTTCTGTCTCACTATCTATGGGACATTTTCCTATATCCCATCCTGCTGGAACATGCTGTCAGAGTAGTTCCCAATAAGGTATTAGTTGATAAAGACTTAACGGTTTAGTCCTTCCAGAAGTACATACATTTTAATATGGGATTCTTCAAGTTGAAAAGACCTGGAGTAACCTAGCTCTGATAGAGGGGTTTTGACTCTTACTGAGAAGGTGGCTGAGATCATTTGAGCTAATGGCCATCATCACTGTAGTAATAGTCCATACTTGGTATGTGACAAACACTGTTCTAAGTATTCTCTCTTTCTCTAGATACATATATATCTTCATTCATTGAATCCTCCCAATAGCCTTATGAGGTAGATGTACTTACATGAGGAAACTCAGATACAAAAGGGTTGAGTAACATATCCAAGGCCTGACAGCCAGGAAATGGTAGCGCCAGGATTTGAACCCAGGAAGTCTGACTCCAGATATCACGCTTTTAACCACTCACTGCTCAAATTGCCTCAGTGATCCTTCCCAAGGTCAGCATGGAGCTTGAGGGCTCACTTCGTTTCTCCAACAGGAGATGTTGGGGAGCTTCCCCACTATTTTTCCCTTTCAAAGTCCCTGAGGCAGTGCCCTCTGTGTGAGATAGTTCTATTGTTCCTACACAGTGTTCTTCCCATGAGAGGGTAATACTTCTCCTGCCTTATCAAAATCAGGCTTGGCCATGTGACCTGTTTTGGCCACCAATAAAATGTGAGAGGAAGTGAATGTATGCTACTTCTGAGCAGAAGCTTTAAAAGCCATCATGTGGTTTCTTTTCTCTCTTCTAGCATGACATTATTTTGAAGCCAGGGAGGTGCTGCTCCTTCAGCCCAGGGCTCAGAATAAAGATGAAATGGAGCATGGACACACCTATGCAATTTAAATGAATACTTTCCTGCAACTTTGTGCATGAAAAATGTACCTTGGTTGTAAGTCACTAAGACTTGAGCGTTGTTTGTTACTGCAGCATTACTTAGTAAAAACTGACTGATACACCTTCTGAATATCAATATTTTTAAGCTGAAACACCAGGAATGCTGTAAGGATAATATCCTTAAACAACTAATAAACTATATTATAATTTATCCAAGAAATCTTTCCGACAGCTCAAAACAGCTTTCCACCTTCTACAAATACTGTCTAAGCATCAACTCACCCCATCTTAGAAGGCTAAGAGATCCTAAGCATTGGCCTAGCTCAGTACACCCAGAATTCATTCACTAGCCTAACATTTATGAAGACAATCAGAAAGAAAGAATGAAGTAGATTAAATGTTACTTTAGGTTTGAGGTTACTGGATAGCATGGGAGAGAAAAAGTATACGTTTTCTTTTTATAGGTGGGAATTAGTACCAAGACTTGATAAGACTCTCCCTTATCTGAGACAGAGAACGAAAGCACTCTTTAATATAAATGATCCGTTCCAGGCTTCAGAACCTATTGCTTTCTTTGGTTCCCAACTGCTTACTTCTGTCTTACACAATTTACAAACTTATGGCCCATGAGCTGCATGTGGATGTAGAATCTCTTATTTGGTTCATATATTGTGTGAGTGTTTGTATCAAATTGATTGCCAACATTCAAAATTTGAGATATTTCAAGAAAAAAAAATCTGTATTTCCAGCTTCTCTTGAAAAATTGAAAACTCTGGTTATACTGGGCCTGGGAACTATCAGCTGGAATTGAACAGCTGATAGTTGATGCCCTTTAGGCTGAGCATGTTTTCCACAGTCCCTGCCTCTCCCTATTGTTTTATACTATTCTTATTTCACTTATTTTTATTCTTTGCCTAGTTCATGCAGCCATCTGAGTTTGCTAGCCTGGGGATCAACTTCCTTCCTTTTCTTTTCTTTTCTTTTCATTCTTATTTCTTCCATAGTAAGGAACGAGATCTTTTGGAGCTCATTCTGTGCACTCTGAGGACACCACTCTCTGCCTTGTTCTCAGAACTTTGAGTGACCTAAATTTGACAGTCTAGCTCTTTGGACTCCCAAAAGAGTCACCCTAAACTATTTAAGACCATTCTGGGAGTTGAGGGAATAGATACTTCCCTCTGGAAATCCTGACTATGCTTGTTCAGTGGATTCCATAATACTTACCGACTTGCATCCTTGTGTAGCTAGAAGGTCTTGGAGCAGCATAAACCTCCTGCCCACTAGATAATTCTGTTGCTTAACAAACCATAACAGCTCTGATTATATGGAGAATACTAGCAGTAAATGGTTTGAAAATGATTTTACTGTTTTCTGTTATGGAAACTTACAGGCAGGAACATTATGGAACTGTTTTGAAATTTCTTTAGCCTTTCCAATGTAAAATCACTAGGCTTTAATATTTCAGCAATTCTACATTTAAAATATCAGAGTTAATGAGACCTGAATCTGCTTTATTGACACCTACACTGGAGAAAGCCATCCAAAGCCATCTGGATGACATAGTCAGTGGGTAGGCATTCCCAAGACTCTAGACTTTCTTTTTCTTTTTCTGCATCAAATTCATTGCTAGACTGACCTCTCATTGGCTAAAACTTCACACCAAGCTCAAGGATTATAAACGTAGGACTAGGACTGTGCAGACTGCAATATGGAATGTGGGGACAAGACATACACGGGGGTTCCCAAACTCAGTAATAAAATCATTCCGAGAGTTCTCATGCCAGCATCCAGCTAGCTGCAACCTTCTCCTGCTTGCCTTCTAAGGAGATTAAGACCGGACATTTTATTTTGTTTCCGTTTTAGTTTATTTGAAGGTTTTATGATGTCTTAGTTGAGAAGCTCATGAGACTTCCAAATAAACATGCCGCTTTTAAAAATGGCAAGTTGTTTTTATTTATTTCTTCTAGGTGCCCAATGACCTCTGGGTATATTAGGCAGCTTTAAATTATAATTAAAATAATAACTGTGGTCCTAAAACAATAATAGATGTCGAATTATGCAAACACCAAATTAGGATGTCCAGAAAATTCAGGAAGGATCGAAGGAAACCAGAGTAAGCAAAGAATTAAAAAAGTTATCTTTGTGGCAATGTGACCAAAGGAAACTTCTCGCTAACAGCAGCCTGGTTATTATTTTTTTTGCTTTGTTTTGCCTTCCTACAAGGCTACTCAAATTTTTGTTTTTTGCGTTTGCTGGATTTGGAGTGTGTGTAGGGGGTAGCCAGTTCTTTAATTGACCTTGTTATGATTTTACAGACAAGAGAAAATAATGAAAATTTCTTGTCACTCGAGAAAATCTCTGTATTTTTATGATTTCTTGAAAATTTCTCAAGTTCATGGACACAAGCAGTAGAAGCCAACATGGCACTTACTGGATGCCAAATCCTCAGAGTGCTTTTGAGTCCCTCTAAGACACACACATCTGCATTCCTCCATCTGTCATCTTAGCTCATCTTCCTCTTCCAACTGTTCTTAAATTAAATGATTACATCTAATGGGAGATTTTCTTGGGAAAGCTTATGAGAATTTGTCCAAAGGCAAATTAAAACATTGCAGTGTAATCACCCAACTCAACTCACTGCTTGGCTGATCTCAGTGCCTACTCTTACCCACAGGAGTTAATCAACCTTTGGGCACCATATGGAGAAAAGCACCAGGAAGAAAGCCCAGTCAAGAGAAAATGGAATTCACTGGCTGATGGTCGAGACAAGGGGACAAGAGTGGTACAAGGTGGGCTGTAATATGTGCCATGGTACCAAAGGCCAGGGCAAGAAGCCTTGGAGGTGGGGAAGTAAAGGAAAATAAGCATCTAGTTCTAGACCCTCATGGCACAATGCTTAATCTCAGGATATGAAAATTCACCTTGTCTCATCCTCATTTCCCCATAGATGGATGGATAAGGGTTCCTGCAATCGTCACAGGTCACCAGGATTGATAGGACTCTTCAGATTGGCTGGTCATTGCCCCTTTATTCCCTCATTGCTTCATGTGAGTTCTTTCTTAACATTTAGTTGAAGGTGACAGCTTCCCCAGCAATTCCAAATTGTGGGAATTTACCCTAAGGAGACAATGGGATAGATTCATCAAGCACAAGGATGTTCATTAGAGTATTGTTTATAATAACATTACTGCCCATCCCTAGGGGATTATTTAAATAACTGATGGTACATCCAACACTGGAATGCAGTGCACTCATTGAAAAGGAACATGCAAATCTATAATTCACTGGCACGGTATTTTGTTTTGGACAGCATGTATGATACCCTTGACCCAAAATAAGACACATCTATGTTTATGTATGCAGAAAAAACATCTGATGGGATGTAGCCCAGGTTAACAGTGTTTGCTTCTGGGTGGTGAAATTTGGGGTGATTTTAATTTTCCTTATGCTTTGATAAATTACTTGCATTTTAAAAAGAGATTATATATTATTTTTATAACCAGAAAATAAGCTTAAAACTAGGTACATATTTGAAAGAAAAAAGAGAGAAGCCTTGGTTAACGGTATACAAGTTTTTGTGCTGCTCCACTTGTCTCCAAACCCAAAAAAAGTCCCAAGGAACTGAATCCTGAGAAAGAGGTTGGGCTGGATTCATGATGGGAATAGGGAATTGGTTGCCCTGGTGACGCTCCACCTCTTTATTCCCAGGCTACTACAGTCTAATTTGATAATCATTTCCATTGGAACTTTATGCTCCCCACTCAACACTCAAAGCACTTCCTCAGATCAGTGCTTTCAGTTCATCCTCAGATCATCTTTGTAAGCAGAGGTGGGCAGGGAAGATGACTCCTTATCTGGGGACCTGAGACATTGGTGCTGATGGGACTGGAGGGAAACCCTGGCACTGCTGAGACCAGTGTGCTGGTCCTCGATCGCTCCCTTCAAGGCTTCTTTGCCTAACCCGTAGTATTTCACTTTTGGAAATAAGAGGGAAAATATTTGAAAGAATCTTTTTGATAAGTCAGGACATGGAACTAAAATCTTCTGTATCTTTGAGTGTTGGTATGTTCAAGAGTTGGGTTAAATCTGGCTATGATGATAGTGCTACTTAGGACCTCGGACGGCCATCAGTGGTCATGATTCATCCTGATGCTGCTGAGAAGATTCCCTCCTGGAAGTGTGGAGACTGGATGACAGTCTCAGTTCTCCTGTGAAGTACTGCAAACAAAGGCAAGGGTAACCTGATCGGGTCTCAACCTTGTTATACATAAAATGAACGAGGAGAGCGATCAGCCTTACCTGCCCCAAGGCATCGTTTGGAGAATCAAGCCACATAACAGATATGAATGTCCTCATCTGTTTAACTTCTCTCTGACCTTCTCAGGAAAAGTTGGTTGCCCCCACCACACACCATAGTCTTGAAATATACTACCACTTATGCTATAAGTCTCTAAGTGTCTGCCTCCCCAGCAAGGCTGTGAAGAATGAAGTCAGGAATGATTCTGATCCCATATAACCCCATCCCAAGACCTAGCATAGCGCTCAGCACTCAGTAGTTTTCAGTAAATATTTATCGACCAGGTGAGAGTCTGAAGCACTCCCCCAATGGGAAGCATTAGAAATTGCCACTGTGAAACTGACTGAATAGTCTTCTTACTCTATAACATACACCTTATTATCCATTTTTTAAAAAACCCACACTTTCTCTCTAAGATTGTTAGAGCATGTGGAATAACAATATAAGTGCTGCCATTGAGTGATTATTATGCCAAGCACCACACTAAGCCTTTGACATGAATTTTATCCTCTGATTCCACCAGCCTCCCTCTGAGGTGGGTACCGTTGCCAGTTTTCCAGATAATGATGCTGAAGCTCAGAGGGTATTGCCCATAGCCCAGAGAGAATTGGTCTGGAATCTGTTTCCAAGCCCGTGTTCTTGACCACTTTTCCTTACTGTGTGTCTGAAGCCAATCTGAACCAAAGAGCAGGCTGGGTTAGTACCTGTTCATCTTCGTTCTAACTTGGGATTTATATAACGTTAGCTTCTTCCAAATGCTCTTTCAACCAGCCGTGTTCAGCAGGTAAAACTGAACATGGTCACAGTGAAGTCTCAGATGGACTGCGTGTTGCCACCCTGCCTTCTGACAACGTCACTTCACCCTCGGAGCGCTAACTCAAATGTGGTCCTTCCTTTTGTTTCTTAAATGTTCCCATTTTCTTTTACTTCCCTCTCAGTTTCCTCTTAACCAGTTGAGTGACAGAAACTCAATGCTGACCACTTCATTAGCCGACGACCTTGTCCCTCTGGCCTTCTGCCCTGCTTGCTCTCCTGGGCAGCTTGCCTTACGTCATAAGTCCTTGTTCAAGGTCAGGACATTGGAGCCATCAGCACTGGGCATGTTGTTTTAATATATATCTAGAGAAATCAGGCCTGTTGGATCACATTAGGCCCTATTTGTGGGCTGCGTGCCCATCCCTGTGGTGGAGATGAACTGTTACCTTTGAAACACAATCATGGCTAGTTACCAGAGAAGTACAGAGTGGGGATTATAATCCATCAGTGAGGCCCTTCTAATCTGTCTCTCCTCTCGTAGGCAGGGCTGCCCTTCTTTCTGTACAGAGAAAATCCTCATAAACAGTACTCTTGTAAAGGAGCGAGGCTAGGAGATACAGCGTGTTTCTAAAACCAGAGGTGTTAACGAGCAAATGAGGGTCAGTGTGGTATGTGATAAGGCAATGATGGGGGAGCCCATGGTAAATGGGCACGTGGCTCCTGCTAGTTGTTGGTATAGTAATAAAATTATAAACTTGACAGCCACTGTTTGTTGAGGGATTACCTTGTGGCAGACGTAAGACTAGGTGTTTTATATGCATTAGCCCATGGAATCCTCATAATATCCCCGTGAAGCTGGTACTACCATTAAACCCATTTTATGGATGGAGAAATTGAGGTTCAGAAAAGTCCAGTGATTTGCCCTAATTCATAAAGTGATTAAGTGTTGGGGGTGGGACTGATTCCAAAACTGCTTCTAACCACTAGGCCGCCATGATTCTGCCATGACATGGTTTGGTCTCTTCTTTGGGGTGGGATTTTAGGTGGTGTTTCAAGGGAACCTTACTGTAATTCCTTTCATAGGAAGGGGCCCCAAATATCTCACTTGACCCAGCAGAAAGTTTGTTTAAAAACAGAGTCTGGGACTAAGCCAACCCTCCTTTTTTTTTTCTCTTCTCTAGGATTGGTTTTAAACTCATTCCTACATCCCGTGGGAGTCTGGCTGGACAGATCCCTTGACAGGGGATAGAAATAGCTCTCATAGCCTATTTTTAAGGAAAACGTGATGTCAGAAAATGAGGCAGGAATGGACACCCACACCAGGCTGGAGAATAAGGCAAACTTTTAAAGAGTGCTTAACCAGGAAATGCTCTCAGAGAGGAGGGGTGGGAATGCCGACAAAGACTAACTAAAGTTGGCAAAGACACACTATGTGGGCGGAGCTGCTTTTTCACCTGGCTAGTATTTCTGTCACAGTCCTTGTGTTTGGCCCACAGCGAGCTCAGCCAGGGAAGGGAATACTCTTGTCCTGCAGCAAACCCACTTTTCTATCTAGAGAACTAGGGCCTGACAAAACGCACACAGAAATGCCTGCTTGCCTCTTTCCTGGAACCGCGAGGCACAATGCAGAGGTATCGAGTAACACAGCAATTTCCTTTGAAGGTTCGGTTTTGTTTGGTGCCCTGTCTGGCAGGTTAGTCTTTTTGACTGCGTGAACTCACCTGGTATAACATTTTCTTTCACTGAGAATCAAGAAGGCTGGAACTCACCTCTCTGATTCTGGCAAAGCTGGACACCATCCAATCACGCTTGACTAGACTTCTGGAGGCTGAAAATTATATCTTCCAAGCTAAGGAAGCGAAGAAAGAACAAAAACACTGTTGGGGAGATGGTTGGTGAACTTTTGCAGGCCAAGTGGTTAATGAGCAAAATGACGCTCCCACTTCTCTTCACTTATTTTTCTTGGGTAAGATTTGTGTCTGGGGTGAGGGTTTACTAAGGTCGTCCCCACCTAGACCAGTATCACAAACAAATGACACAGCTACCTGCATTCATCCATGTTGATAATGCTGCAGCAAAACACTTCTTTAATTGGAAAGACAGTCTTTAAAAATGCAACTCAGGGCGGCCAACCTCAAGATAGCGTCTGATATTAATTAGAAATTATACAATGCTCTAAGTTGAACTAAAGAAATATTGGTAGAGGGATCAGGGCAAGAAGGAGGAAAATCGAAAGTGAAATCCTGTGCTGATTGAAAGGGACTGGAGCCCTACATTTCTCCCCAGCCACTGCGTTTCTGCCTGTCCATCCCAGCGAAAGCATTCCAATGGTGTTAACTACCAAACGCTTGTCTCGCTTTCCATTCCCC